TGTGTTTGTAAATCTTTTGCTGGAAAAATCCTCACTTGTTTACTTTGTGGTAAATGTTCAAGAAGTACTGAAAACTTATGTGAATTTCTGGAACTTCATCTAGCTTTTCCTAATACGACTAATTACCAGTCCGTGCAAAGCTTATTGTTAAATCATCTGAAAATTGAACATTTAACAGGTGATGATCGACTGTATTGCCAAACATGCGCCAAACTAACTGACTGTTATAAGAAAACAAGTATAGCTGAGACACCAGTCAATCTAATAATAACACTGATGATCTTTAAGCATGACTCAACCTCTGACGGAAGCACCAAACTCTTAGGAAGCTTCAAAATAGATGAACACTTCAATCTAGCAGACCACTATTATAATCTTAATGCAGTCATTGTTTACTATGGTTCTGGCGTTGAATCTGGACATAATTACGCCTTGGTCAAAGGCGAAACGGACTGGTTCAATGGAATTCATTGGAGCCTCTGGAGACCTCCTATATTTTGTTTTATGAGAGAGGACATTGGCAGATCAATATCTTTAAATGATGTGGTGCTGCAGGTTTTTTCGGGTTTTCCTGCAGCTGAAAAAGCAAATGCGCCACTGGAATCAATGAAGTCACCCCGGAGCGCCTATTAATTTTTGTTGTTTTATAATTTCATGATTTGTATTTTGGAAGTGTTATCATTATTATCAATATTGTTACTTCTTTTAGTCGTGAATTGTTGATAAATCTAATACGGCAGATTCTGTATCACTTAATATTCGAAAACCATAATGACAATTTTTTAAATTTTTTTTCCAGATATTCCAAAAGCCATCTTTTCGCGATTGACAAATATAATATTATCAAAAAAGGCATTTGTATACTGACCAGATCGCTGGTGTGACCCTGAAACATGTTGGTGACTTCTACCACTTCTGCCGCTGCTTGTGGAAACAGCTCCGGGACTGTCAGGAGTTTGTTGCCTAGGAGGGGATCCTATCAAAGACCTGGGGTAGGCGGGAGTGAAACCGACCAAAACGGGGGGAACCCACATGTCTTCCAGAGCTACCTTGCCTCGAGATTCTACGAGACCTGGTGTCGACTGGCTGCGACCCATCGCGGCTGAAAATATAGGCACCAGTGAGACTATTCGTTTCAATAGTAAAAATGAAATTGGAAGGTAACTAAACATTACAAACCGTTCAGATAGGCTGAACAGTTTGAAGGATAACACCAGATGGCGCTACTTGTATGAATCCATATGATATTTAGTTTATCCTAACAAATTTTACAGCTATCGGACTATTGATTCCTGGGATAGAACATTTTGAGTTAAGCAACTTTTGTTAGTTTGGAGAAAATGGATAAAAAGAAATTTCGTGTGTTGATGAAGCATTGATTTTTCATAAAAAAGTCCACAAAATAATTTTGGATGATCACTAAGTGAAGTTGATCGAGATAACCGAGGCTTTAAAGGTATCGAACGAACGTGTTGTACATATCGTGCTTGAATATTTGGGTATGGGAAAGCTCTGTGAGGGTGACACACAAGCTCACAATCGACTAAAATCAACAAAAATTGATGATTTTGAGAAGTATTTGAAGCTGTTCCACCATGACTGTTTCCAAACCAAAGTTAGTACAGTTAGTTAGTACAGTGACTTCAATTCCGAAAATAAGTAATACAAGAAATGCAAGTAATTTTCGTCCAATAAACAGTCTTCCAACGCTTAAAAAAGTACTGGAATTGGCAGTATATGAACAACTAGTTAGATACTTCAATGAAAATAATTTATTCATCGAAAATCAGTCTGGTTTTCGTAAGAATCACTCATGCGAAACAGCATTACAACTAACAGTCACAGAGTGGAAAAAAGTATTGATAAGAAAGAATATATTGTTGCTATATTTCTAGATTTCAAGCGTGCCTTTGAAACAATTAATAGGAAAACTTTAATCAATAAACTGGAGTATTATGGTGTAACTGGAAAAGCTTTAAACTGGTTAGATAGTTATCTTGAGCAAAGAAGTCGAAGGACTTAAATTTGTGATGTAATGTCAGATCAAATTATAAATGACATAGGTGTTGTTTTGGGACCACTGCTATTCATTATTTATTTAAATGATATCAACTATGTACTACCTGGTTCACACCACATTAATTTATTTGCTGATGATATCCTTGTATATACGGAAAACTGTGATTTGAAAGAAGCTGAACAAAATGTCAATATATCTTTAAAGAACATTGAATTGTATCTACAAGTGAATAAACTCAAATTGAATATCAATAAATCTAAGGCAATGATTGTAACAACAAATTGGAATCAAAGAAAGATTGATACTAACGACGTTAATATCAGCATATTCAATAATCAACTAACAATTGTAAATGAAATTAAGTACCTAGGATTCATTATAGACCATCAATTAAATTTGAATAAGTATGCCGAATATACCATCTGAAAGATATGTAACAAAATGTATTTTTTCTCTAGAATTTCAAAATATTTATCAACCTTTGCTAGACTAACATGTTACAACTGCATAATAAGGCCACACTATGACTACCGTGCCACACTGATGTATCTATTCAACCAAAATCAAATGGGACAGTTGCAGAAACTACAAAATCGAGGTATGAGAATCATTTTGAGATGCAACCAGTATACCCCTATTGAATCTATGTTGAATACTCTAGAGTGACAGCCGGTACATAAAAAACTGTACCTATTATTTGAGCATGAGCACTATAAGAGTGGAATGAATTCATTGTTCTTTAAAGGTCTAGATAGTTTCAATAAGTTACCTGATGAAATAAAACGTGTAAATTCCTTAAAAGTATTCGAAAAGTTATTTCTAGAATGTATCAAATTGTAATACATGACGCACTGCAAAATTATATATGTGTATAAATTATTCATATATGCATAACTATATATTGTATATTAGGATTCCTGAAACAAAATCTACCACTACATGAAAATGCCGAGTTTATGCGTCGATATGTGACAATGGATGAAACATGGCTCCATAGAATAGAAAATCTACTAGCTGAACAATTTCCCAGACTAGAATTGGAAATTACTTTTCGACAGCGTCTAGTCAGGCGAATTTTGAAACAGCTTAATATCAACAAGGCGTCTGGCTCTGATGAAGTGCTTGTCATCCTACTTGAAAAGTGCGCAAATGAAGTTGCACCAGTATTTTGCAGACTTTTCGACCTGTCTTACAAGAAAGGGATTTTTCCTTCTTGTTGGAAGATTGGATTGGATTCCAGGACAATGGCTACGGAGACACATCTTCACCGGCAACAGGAGTTGCATATCTTAATGGGGATCTACAAGTGATTTCGAATTGGGGAGAAAGTAACCAGGTTCAATGGGGAATGTTCCTCAATTTGGGTTATAATGTATGCATAACTATATATTGTATATTAGGATTCCTGAAATAAAGTCTACTACTACATGAAAATGTCGAGTTTATGCGTCGATATGTGACAATGGATGAAACATGGCTCCATAGAATAGCAAATCTACTAGCTGAACAATTTCCCACACTAGAATTGGAAATTACTTTTCCACAGCGTCTCGTCAGGGGAATTTTGAAACAGCTCAATATCAACAAGGCGTCTGGCTCTGATGAAGTGCTTGTCATCCTACTTGAAAAGTGCGCTAGTTGAACCAGTATCATGCAGACTTTTCAACCTGTCTTACAAGAAAGGGATTTTTCCTTCTTGTTGGAAGATTGCTCGCGTTCAGCCTATTCCCAAAAAAGGCAAGAAAAATTCTTCCAAATAACTATAAACCAGTCGCTGATAGCGAAGCGACTGGTCTATAGTTATTTGGTCTATAGTCAGTCACGCTTCCAGGTCTGTTCTTCTTTGCTTTTGCACAACCAAAGCGATCTTTTTTTGAATCGGATCACCACATGTGATGGAAAGTTGATTCTCTACGAACACAGGGGACGTTGAGGACAGTGGTTTGGTCACCGATGAGCCTTTGTTACTGTTTGCAGACTTTTCAACCTGTCTTGCAAGAAAGGTGTTTTTCCTTTTTGTTGAAAGATTGCTCGCGTTCAGTCTATTCCCAAAAAGGGCAAGAAAAATCTCCCAAATAACTATAGACCAGTCGCTTTACGATAAGTGATACCAAAATTCATGGAGAGAGTTGTGAACCACCATATCCTCAAATATTTGGAAGGCTTCAACATCTTGAGCCATCATCAATATGGCTTTCGGAAACAAAGATCAACAGGCGACCTTCTATCTCTCGAATACTTTCACCATCAACGCTGATGTTCTTCAGGGAGCCTTATTGTCTCCAACTTTCTTTTTATTGAATATCGACTTTATGAGAAAAAAACAAGAATCCAATATATTGCCTTGCTGACGACAGCACACTTGTCTCGTCATTCCATTTGGATTCCAGGACAATGGCTACGGAGACACATCTTCACCGGCAGCAGGAGTTGCATATCTTAATGGGGATCTACAAGTGATTTCGAATTGGGGAGAAAGTAACCAGGTTCAATGGGGAATGTTCCTCAATTTGGGTTATTACAGCAAATGCAAGTTTGAACAAAATAAAGTTGAGTTTAATTCATGAGTTTTTCAAATTCACTTCGAAAAGTATTCAAANCATTTCTATACATCAGGATAATCCATTCGATCTCAAGGTCACTTCAAGGTATTTCAGTTCCCTCTCCAGATGTTCTGGTTCACATATTCTCCGAGGGGGAGAATACAGACAATTTCAACAGAAAAGAAAAAGCTGAAGAAGCTAGCCACTCGCGCCAGCGAAACGTCAGGAAGAAATTCCAAAAATCCATGGCTTTCAAACTCGAAAAGCAATGACACTGAATGTTATACTCTGTTACCTAATGTTTGTTATCAATTCAAACCGCTAACAGAATGCTCAAACAAAATTTTATTATTTCGTTATGATTTGCCACAACTGCTTTAGGCGGATTTATAATACTTTACCGGTATTTTTGTATCGCAAACGGATTGCAAACAAAAGATCTGATGAGCGTTCGGGGTCGTTTGATACTTGCAGTGGTGTGATGTTATGTATTTAACCAAAAATACTTGTTGAAAATTATTACTGTTTATTTCTTTATATACATATCTGTTTTGATAGTTACCAAATTTTTCGTAAAGATATGGGTGAAGGAAGGAAAGGAAGTGTTGCAATTTTTATCAGGAACATTTTCAAAGCTACTTCAATACCGAACATACTCAGTCAAACAATTGAACAAGTCTGGTAACATTCACCATTGAAAAAAAAAAGTTACGCTGTTGCTTCTAAGTACATACCTCTGAATCTTCTTCTTCCAATATTCTTGACTGCTTCGAGTGACAGTTTATCTTCAATGCGTCCCAAATTTGAAAATATTATTTTAGCGGGGTATCTGAATGTGGATTATTCAGATCATACTAATAGTCAGTGTATTGTTTGAAACAAGTAGTAGAACAACCCACGCGGTACTCTTCGGTAGGTTGTGAAATATAAGACGCTTTGATCTGTTCACAATTATTAACTATATCTGACTGTATTACGATCAACTGTAGTTCATTTTCTGACTTAATCAAAACAGCAGATACAAGAGTTTCATGCACACCTATAGAGGCGGGTTGGCTGTCCTTGTTCATCTTTTACTGCCTGAATCACTGTGCATGCTGTTTTTGGTGAGTGCATTGGCTTGGGATGTGGGGCATCGGATGCCTGCTTCCACGTAGCCCCGCTGGATACGGGAATGACAGAATCACGTGTGGCTCTGTTATTCCCCAACTGAATGGCATCCCAACGATGGCTTAATCCTAAGGTGTGTGTATCCGTGTAGAGAGGATGAATGACACTGAGCTGTCTCTACGGAACCTTTGAAATACCGGGCGCCCTCTCGTCGTAGCATAGCCTTGTCACGGTAATGTGGGGCTCTACCGTGATTGACCTTCTTTCCCTATCTACTCGTGGGACTTTTATGGACAGAGTAAATTTAAATATTTTTTCTGACGCTGAGTTTACAGGGGGGATGGATGTCGAACTTACGACTCCAACTGACTTCCCTGTAAATTTAGATCAGGGGCGAGTCTACAGAGGAGATGGATTTCGAGCTT